GCGCTCTTTTTAAAGGCAATATGCATCTTTTAACGAACTTAATAGATGGACCTATTCTATTATAACTACTATATAAAGAATTTCTTTTTCAATTATTAGACAAAGAATTGTTAAACTAGAAAAAAAAAATCTTTTTATTAACTTTATTATGTATCTAGTATAATAAAAAATCTTTTATCAATTAGAAAATCAATTGATTTTGGATATTACATCTTTTTTGGACTTCAAAATTGCTTGATTTTTTCATTATGATATATAGGATTTACTTCTCATATAGACAAATTGCCAATCTTGTATTTTAGAGAAACATCATTGCTATCCTATTCATAATATAAGTCTTATATCAATAATTTAATTACTTAAATTATTATACTCTAATCTTTGTGGACCCTTTCCAAATAAATCTCTGATCAACTCTTGTTATTTCATTACTTTCATTGATATTTACTTAAGATGATCTTAGATATACTTTTTATCAAAAAAAAAAAAAAATTTAGTACTTTCAAATTTTTTAGAGTTATGATAAAAAATCAAACAAGCTTAAAAATATCATTTCTCAAAACAAATTACAAAGATAAATACTTCTATAAAAAATTTAAAATCTATTATTTAAATAATAAAATTTAAAGACAACTTACAACTACAAGAATGTCATAACAAAATAGATTAGTTGAATGCAAAAATTCGTACACATGAAAAAAATAAGAAATTTAATATTTAGAAAAAAAGTGCTAACTTATCTATGGAAAAAAGCCATTCAAACTACAAACTATATCTCCAATCAAATTCTACATTGGTATCTCTATTCTATTATTTTTTTAAAATTATTCTTAAGTAAGAAACTTGACATCTCTCATCTTTAAATTTTTGGCTACTTATTGTACTTGCATCCAAAAAATAGATACAAACTACAACTTAAAGATTGATATAACATATTAGTAGGATATGATGATGAATCAAAAGCCTACATGTGCTTTAACTATACGAACAACAAAATCTTGATCTCCAAAGATGTTTACTTTGATGAAGATGAAATTGAAATTTCTATAGTAGACAATTCTTACTTAGTTGATATTCTAAAAAAATTTCTTGATTTTCAAACTTATGTAAGTTTTACATCTTATCCACTTTCTATCACTACTTTTGTACCTCAACTACCTATGATATCCTCTTTTATCTTACCAATAGATAATTTATGTCAATTAAACTCACATATACCTATGCAAGAGCCCACAAATTAGCAAGATAATAATCATGAACAAAATAATTCACTACAATAATTACTTTGAAGATGCTCTTTCCAATTTTGAAGACTAAATGTCACACTTGATAGCTATTTCTTAAGTATTACTACAAAAGATTTCAATATATGCATGGCAAAAATAAAATATATAAAAAAAGACAATCTTTCTATTAAATTGTCTTATAAAATTTCAATTAGCACATATCAATGATACAAGAACTAGAATCTATAGCTAAAAATAAAACTTGGAATCTGATAGCCTTTTTCTTTAAAAGGATGCATCATTTGTGTCTAGTGGGTGTTTAAACTTAAACCTGGTATAAACGAACATCCTCCATGCTACAAAGTAAGACTTATTGTACGAGGATATGAACAAAAATATGATGTGGATTTTGATGAATTTTTTGCACCAATGATAAAATGGTCAATTATTAAAACTCTTATAGCTATAACAACATCTAAACGACATTCTATCCATCACCTAGATGTTAAAATAGCCTTCTTTAATGGTCATTCCATAGACAAGATAGACATGAAATAAAATCTAGGTTTCTTACAATGAGAGAAAGATCATCTAATATGCAAATAAAAATTTGTCCTATATAGTCTAAAACAAAGTCCACTTGTGTAGTATGATTGCATAAATAATTTTTTACAATCATTTAGTATAACTTGCACTGTAAGCAATATCAATCTATATTATATTGACAAGGAAAACAACAACACTATAGTAGTTGTTTGTATAGACGACCTATTCTAAACAAGAAGAAATTTGAATACTATATCTTAGCTAAAATAAAAATTGCACAAGGAATTTGACATAACAAATCTATGATGTATTTTCAAATATTTTAGTGCAAAATTCATGTATTTTTCCTCAAGCATCTTTATATCACAATACCAATATTCTTTTGATATCATAAATAAATTTGGTATGAATAAATCAAAAAAGAAATATATATCCTTACTTCCAAGCTTAATATTTTTCACAAATATTGGATCTCCATCAATAACCCACCAAATCTTACCTCATATTTGCAATAAACAAAATATTAAGATTTTTGTCAAAACCTCAAAATCTCCATCTAGAAGCAATTTGATACATCTTAAGATACACCAAAATTATAGTTGATTTTGGCCTATTCTATCAATACAATACTTCTTATAACATACATGGCTACATGAACTTAAATTGTTCCTCATGTCCACAAAGAAGAAAAACTACATATAGATATTGCTATATATTACGTTGAGTAGTTAATCCTTAGCAAAGTAAAAGACAATAGACTATTGCAAAGCCTTCTACTAAATCAAAATACATGAACCCTTCTACAAAGACATTTAAGGCAATATGGCTTAAGAGATTACTTACCAAAATTAGATTGCTACATGAATTTTCTCTTTCATTATTCCTTAACAATAATAGTAAAGACATTAAATTAGATATGCAAAATCATTACTCCCTATTCTTACAATGTGATGAATAGTTAGCAATTAAACTAGTTTAAATCTTATATGACATGCAAGAACAAAGACATAGAAGTATACCATCATTTTATAAGAGAAATAGTAACATCTAAAGAAATTAATTTAGATTATATTCCTACATATTCTCTATCCAAAAATATTTTTACAAAAACTCTCTTTGAAACAAAATTTGTACAACATAAAGCAAAATTAAGTTTCATCAATTCTTCTAGCACTTTCTATTCAAAAGTATATATTATAGCTATCATTGCCAGTCGTAGTATAAGAACTAATTTTTCTTCATTCAAAAGTATGTCCAAATCAATAATAGATTCTTCCACTCAAAATCTATCTTGGAAAGTAAAATTCCACATCCAGCTCATAATTACCTCACTTTATTTTTCACCTATCTTAGCGCTTTTGCATAATGCTTTATCTTTCCAGAGACTAAATAATTCTTTGATACAATCTAAAGCTTTTATGTTTTGCTCTTCAAAATCCTTTTATTACATATTCACAATCTTCTTATTTATAATATATTCCAAGCTTTATTCATTTTTTTACTATATAAAATTTTGAATTCTCTATCTTCAACCTTTCAATAGCCTCACTCAACTTAAAAAGATCAGAACAAATCAAATATACATCCTACCAACTTGAATCCTTTCCTCCTCCAATAAATAAAACTAAGTCCACCTCTATATTTTGACTACTATGTCTTTCCTTTTGGTAGACATGTTAATCCTAACATGACCTTATATATATTATTAAACCTTGCAAAATTTATAAAATTTTAATCCATAAAGGTTATAAATTAAGCAAGGTTCATTCATATTTTTTTTCTATTTTTTTAGTATTATTTTTGGTTTATTAAATTTAGACTTTTCTTCCAAAAATATTGTTAGATTCTTAAAATTTAAGATATTGCAACATATTTCTTCTTATTAAAGAATATGAAAAAGTTAAAAACACTAATAGAATATAGTATATTCAATCAAAAAATGAATTTAATAATATGCATTCAATTTTATAAATTATAAAAGTAAAAATTTATAATAATTCATAGTATTGTAGAAATTAGATATAAAATAAAATTTTGATACAAAGAAAAATATTATATATATATATATATATATATATATAATCTTTAAAAACAAGATAAAATTTATAATCAATTTAAGATTATTATTATTTATAGTTAATATTTATATTTATTAGATTGTTTTTATTTATTTCACATATCTTATAAAATATATTACCTAAATTTGATGCCTATATATATATATATATATATATATGTATGTATTTATTACAAAAAAATATTATATATTAACATTTTTAATTTAAATTCTTTTATAAATGATGGAATTTATATATATATATATATATATATATATATATAATGGTATACTTAAATAAACTAAAAAATTGTGATTATAAAAGCCTTTTGAATATTTATACTTTTTATAAATTTGAAAGACGAAATTAGTAAAAAAATAGATTTTTAGTTACATTAAATAGTTATATTAAAAAAAATAAGACTAGAAAGTAATAGAAATGGTTAGATTTTATAATAATTTATTATAATCTAATATAAAATTTTTATTATATAATTTAATAAATATATAACAATTATTTTTTAAAAAATTCAATAAGATAATTTTTATTTATTCTAACATCTTACTTAAGAATATTAATAATGTGCTTTAATATTAGTTACGGAAATATTATTGATATTCTAGAGATTTTTTTAATAAAATTTAAGATTATATACATATATATATATATATATATATATATATGTATATATGTAATTAAATCATATTTAAGTAATAATATATTATTGAACTTACTTTAAAAAACATAATTATAAGCTATTTAATTTGTTTTTTTAAAAAACTTCTACAATTGAATTGAACTTATCTTTAGACTTGAATAACATAGATATTTTTTTGCTAAAGCTAATAATGTTTTGTAGAATAAAAGTGTCGAAGTCATAAGAAAAAATTGACAATAATTATATCTCTAATCTTACATTACAAATTTTATTTTGGATTTACAAAATTATTTTGATAAATACAAGAGTTCTAATTATTATTTTGCTAAACAAAATTATAAAATTAATGAAGAAGTACACTCAAAAGATTATAAGCCCTAATATTAGTTATACTATATTATTGCAACTTCTTAAAAGTTCTTTTTTTATATATACAGACAAATAGAATACATTATTTACAATCTTTAGCAATATACTTCTTTACTTTACTTAAGATAAGTACCACATCCATGCTTAGAAATGACAAATATTTACAATTGATTGCCAAATAAGTTTTAAAAATTTACATATTTAATTTTTTTGATATAAAATAAAACATTCAAGATTTTTACATTTCTTAGATTGATGTGATAGCCTCAAACATCCCTTCACTTTGACCTTCAACCACGCTCACAACATTCACAGTTTTGTCGCCGCTTGTGCTGCTGCCAACCTGGCTATAGGCACCCTGCCAGCAAATCAAACATTTCCTCCGTGGAATGAATATGGTTTATCCAAGACTAGCTGACATAGGCGGTGATTTCCATACTAAAAACGATAGAAGTGACAATGGTCTTCGAATGACTCCGTTGCGAAACCAACAAAATGAGTGGGTGTTGCACATAACGAGTTACCTGAATGGAGAGCAGGATACATAGTCTAGCCCAATCTTGGCGAAAAACTCCACAGATAGCGGTTCACCTCCATGCTCACCACAAACTCCGACCTTCAAGTAAGAAAATATATTCAGGTCTAAACTTAGGGCTACATCTTCTGGTGAAATGCTCTAACCTTAACCGTAAGTTTGAAGTTTGAGTGATGCCACTCGATACTATTGTACTCACAAGGATTCAGAAAATCAGGAATGTCTATGTCGATGATTGATCATAAACTTGAAGTAGGAAATTTCTGTCTATATATCCTCTTGAAACACCTTCCTCGTTCGTTCAACAAAGTATCCTACGCCATTCCACTTCAGACTAATGAACTAATCAGTGTAGTGTTTACCTTCAGGTCTGGCCGTGATTGACGACCTCGGTCCTTGGCTATGACGATCAGTTGTCCAACGCCCCGTTGATCCAGCACCTAATATGCCCAAAGAGTGTTGTGCTTTTACTACGTGAAGCAAAATGTTTGCAGGATTATGTGCAATCGAACAAATGCAGAGTCGAACAAGAGAAAGTCGTCCTGATCGAGGATGTAGAAGAGAAGACTCTAGATTACCCAATTACAAGACAGCGGAGTGTCAAACCTGTGTAGTCTCAAAGGAGAGAGCTGCGAAGAAAGTATAAATATGTTTATGGTCTAGTTTGCTTAAGATGAGGTGGAGCCAGAAGAGGGGTACCTCGAACGGGTCATGCTGGAGAATACCCTTCGCTATATACGAAGGAAGGAACTTGCTTACATCATCCCGGCTGTAGCCGAAGGTCATCTGTGTCAAGTCGTTTGTTCCAAACGAAAAGAAGTCGGCGTGTTCGGCAATCTGAACCCAAAAACACCAGAAACTGCCTCAGACATTTCCATTCACATCGTCTTTAATTAAATTCCAAAGCTATGCGCCAGAGAAGTTTTACAGCTAGAATTTACTTAAATATGTCTGACTCAGGATGCCTCTTCTAGAAATGACACTTATGTTTCACTGACGTGAAATTTCACAGCGCTTATTGACAAGCACATTAGATGTCCCTGTTCCGAATTATATTCCTGTTACCTGAAAGAATCGAACTTCATGAAACAACAGGACATACCTCATCTGCCACAAGAGCTGCTCTAGGAATCTCAATCATGGTTCCAACTTTGTATTTTACAGTCATTCCTGTCTCGGCGAAGACTTGCATGGCCACGTCGTGGATCAAGTCAACCTGATGTTTCAGCTCCTGCAATGATAACATGCCACAAGTTAATCCTTCATATAAAAATATCAGGGCATTTTTCACAGCATCATAGTGCATTTTGATTGCTTACTCTCATACAACAATGCATTGTTACCTGGGGCGTTCCAACAAGAGGAACCATGATTTCTGGTATGACCTTGATGCCCTGATTTGCCATTGCTGTGGCTGCCTGAAATATTGCTCTAGCTTGCATCTGTGACAACTCAGGATACGATATTCCCAACCTACAGATCAACAGAAATGAGATGAATTGGTGCTCATTCTCCCATCCAGATAAGGCCATAAAATATTTCAGTGAATGCAACGAGATCAAATAAGTACGCTAATTCTCTTTCCTGTTGAAATACTACACATGTTTTGATCCAGGCTACAAGAGTATCTTAAACTCTTTGTTGTAGAGGGTGATATACGTTAATATCCATTACACACAATTTTTTTTTTTTTTTTCTCTCACCGACATCCGCGGAAGCCAAGCATTGGATTAACTTCAGAAAGCTTCTCAATTCGAGAATAAACGTCGTCCTCCGATGCTCCGGTCGCTTCTGCAAGCTGTTCGACGATTTCTTCCACATTGCCCTCGGGTAGAAACTCATGTAGAGGAGGGTCCAACAAACGGATTGTCACGGGAAGTCCTGTACACGTTGCAGGAGTTAGATTTATCGCTGATTTTTCAGTGTGTTGGCGGTCATGTTGTGAACCTATGCGTTGATGCGTCTACAATAAACCTTCACCATTATGGACGAAAATTAGTTACTAAGTTCTCAGCGTTCTCGACAATAAAAATCTGCCAACTTACCATCCATCACACGAAAAATGCCCTCAAAATCAGATCTCTGATAGGGTAATAGCTTATCAAGAGCCACTTGACGTTGCGGAGTGGTTGAAGCCATGATCATTTGCCGCACTGCTTTGATCCTCTCGTCAGAGGCAAAAAACTGATAATACACCCACGGCTGGACTTAGTTTTGGCATTTGTTGCAAAATTCGAGTATAAAAAGTATGTATATCGAGAATCAAAATAATATAATATAATATGAGCGCAGTAGGGATCTCGGAACCAGTACCATGTGCTCTGTCCTGCAAAGCCCAATTCCCTCCGCTCCATTTTTCCGAGCAGCCAAAGCATCCTCCGGTGTGTCGGCGTTTGCCATCACCTGTAATCCATCCACCAATTTATCAGCTCCCACTTCAGTCAACTAGTTGTACGAGGGTATGACTTTGGATTCAATGACACATATAGATTCAATTCAACCCAATTCAAAAGTGGCCTAAAAGCGATGTAGCACTCATGACAAACCATGACTCAGAGTTTCAATGTGACAATTGCTCTTGTTTGCACCTTCAATCTTCGAAATTCATCAACCCAACTCATAAAGATTTCGAGATTCCCACTTATTGCTGGAGGCGCCAGTGGCTGCTTGCCCATTATGACCTCTCCTGTAGATCCATTTAGTGATATCCAATCGCCCTCGTACAACGTTTGGCCGTTTACGCGTACATTCTGAACAATAAGCCCGAAAACACGAATTTCAGACTTGATAAGTACTACTAGATCACATGACTGATTGACTTGGCATTTGAATCTTGTTTGCATAATGCTATCCTGACGTGATAGATAAAGAAGTGCAAGGACGACGAACCTTGTTCGCCTCGTCGACACGAATTTCAGAGCAGCCAGAGACGCAACACTTGCCCCAGCCTCGAGCAACAACGGCTGCGTGAGAAGTCATCCCCCCACGTGCTGTCAAGATTCCAGCAGCAGCGTGCATACCGCCCACATCTTCTGGGCTAGTTTCATTGCGTACCTACAGTGGCGACAGAAGATAGAGAAAAAAAATATATAAATAAACTGCTTAATGGTCCAAATCCATGAACAACGATTCAAGTCTCAGAATTGGTTTAAACAACGAAGTCTTCGTACACAAAAAAAAAAAACTAAACAAACAAGCCTGAGGAGATTAGGTAGGCCAATTCAAAACAAAACACGAAAAAAAATCTCTCAATGGGTTAGAAAGGTTCAAGAATATCCAAATTCTGTACCAGGATAACCACTTTGCCCTGCAAATGCCAAGCCTCTGCATCCTCCGCAGAAAAGACAAGTTGGCCGACAGCAGCTCCAGGAGACGCAGGTAATCCCGTGGCGATTACTTTACTTTTGTAGAGTACTGGATTTTCAAACTGCCTCATTGCCACACAAATTCAAGTTTAGCGCTGTGCTTAGGAATCTCCATGTCATGAAAGTGGCTATGAGAATGAAGCAGATGACCAGTGCTGGCAAAATTCAACAAGTCAGCGAAGAATGCATTCTACACCTGCGGATGTAGGAGCTGGTCCAGATGTTGAGGTTCTACTCTGTTAACAGCCGTCGGTTTATCTATCAATCCTTCATTTACCATATCTACGGCAATTTTCACAGCCCCGGCTCCTGTGCGCTTCCCCGTACGACATTGCAGCATCCAGAGCCTGCCCTCTTGTACTGTAAACTCAATATCCTACAACCAAGCACACATGGGTTTTAGGTTAGGCAATTAATCTTGCGATTTGAGTGAGAACAAGACACAACAGGCATGGGACAGGTTTAATGACTTAGAGGAAGTACCATCATCTCCTTGTAGTGAGCCTCCAATATATCACAATTCTCAAAAAGCTCCTTGTAGGCATCTGGAAGTACTTGTTTCATCGTGTCAATGTCTTCGGGAGTCCGAATGCCTGCCACTACATCCTCACCCTGCACGCTCATAACAACGAATCCAAATTGGTCCGTAGGGCCACATTGAGCAAACAATTTGCAGTGGTTGAGCAAATGATCACGGAGAATCGAAACGTCATACTGGTAATAAGTCAAAGCATACTAGTATGTGATCCACGGAATCTGAGCTGTTAGGAATTGCGTTACAAGTAACAGGCACCACCAAGATAGAGCACGTAACCAACCTGGGCATTGATGAGATATTCTCCGTATAGTTTCTTCTCTCCGGTGCTCGGATTGCGAGTGAAGAGAACACCTGTACCTGAGTCAGCTCCCATGTTTCCGAACACCATGGCTTGGACATTTACAGCTGTGCCGTTGAGGTCTGTGATCTGGTTGATGCTTCGGTACTTCACAGCTCGTGAGCTGTTCCATGATTCAAAAACAGCGATAACAGCTAGTCGCAACTGCTCAACAGGATCTGTTTAAAAACAAAAATCCCTTCTAAGATTTGGGAAACCTTTCAAAAGATGCACAATTCTGCTGCCATTGCAACACTAACCTCCACCCGCTCTCTCGTCTCTTGTTTGGCGCTTAACTGAACCGCAACTTACTAAAACACCAGAAAAGAAAAATTATACCAGTAGGAAAATCTTTGCCAATGGCGTTGCGGTAGACGCTTTTATACTTCTGCACAAGCTCCTTCAGATCCTGGGTCGTTAGGTCTGTGTCATTATGCACTCCACGTGCAGTTTTCAGGCTTTCCAGCTCGTGCTCAAAAAGGGAGTGGGAGACACCCATCACCTGTAGACGCAGCAAAAGTGGAACAAGATAATTCTTCGATAAATCCTCATGCTGATCCAAACCACTGCTTTGAGGAATCCAATTCAATCGAATGCAATAACAACACTGACACCTAATTTTTATCCAGATTCTATAGCAAGGATCGACACTCACCACGCCTCCAAACATATCAATGAAGCGTCGATACGAATCATAAGCGAATCGTTCTCCACTACGAGCGGAAAGGCCATCAACCACCTCGTCGTTCAATCCCAAGTTCAGCACCGTGTCCATCATCCCAGGCATTGAAATCTGTAAAGCGTCAAATAAGAAGTGAAAAGACTGATCTCCAAATCTCGTCGGAATTAATCAACTGCATAAAATCAAGCTTCGACAAGTAGTTTCTGATGAAGAGTGTTACTTACAGCGGCCCCTGAGCGGACGGAAACGAGAAGGGGTTTGGAAGGATCTCCCAGAGTGGCACTTATGTCCTCTTCAACAGCCCGCAAGCCCTCCAGCACCTCCTCCCACAGACCGTCCGGTAGCTTATTTCCATTCAAGTTGTACTCACGACAGGTTTCGGTGGTGATTGTGAAGCCTGGTGGCACAGAGAGCCCTATGCTTGACATTTCAGCAAGATTTGCGCCCTTGCCACCCAGCTGACATCTCGATGCGATGGTGAAGTTAGATTTCAAGATGACAATGTCACATCCAAGAAACCCCCAAAAACAAACACTGAAAAGGGGGAGTAGAAAGCTCCAACAAAATGCACAACTCGAAAACTCACCAATTTCTTCATACCCATGTTCCCTTCACCTCGGCCCTTCCCGAATGTGAAAACTCTCTGCAAAATTGCATCTCTAAGTCAACACATCCATCATAGATCGCCAAAGCATCCTCACAGAAAACGGAACGTACTAAGTTCAGTGTTCGTCGATAGGCATTTAAGCAAGAATTTAGAAGCAAAAGGGTGAAATGTCGACAAAGTAGTAGCAGTATGAGACTACCTGTGTAGTTTGTGTTGGAGGAGACGCCAAGCTCTGACTTCGAATTGCGACGTCACAGGGACGGCGCACGGATTCGCTCCAGCAAACTTCACCAACTCGAAGCGCGTCTCCATGGCACCAACCGCTGTGCCGACTTGCTAGGGACAAGCTACGAGGAGGTGCATAGTGAGCTGCGACATGGGTGAAACATGCAGAGCCCCTGCCAATTCTAGTTCTGTCCACAACAAGGTTTCGAGCTCCCATTTCCAAGTGCAAACCGCCTGCCGCCTTCATCATGTGTGCCTCGATCGGCATTCGCCTCGCGCTCGACCAGCCTTGTCTGATTAGGAACCTACCAAGATCCTTCAAGCTCCTCAAAATTGCGCAAATGGCCGGCACACAGGCAATTAGTACACAGAGCCTCCCACACCTCCGGCCCGTACGCTTGTCAGTCCCTCCACCTCCGAACTCACCCCTGTTAACAAACAAAATTTGAACGATAATCCGCCAATTTCCACACAAATAAAGTTCAAACATAAATTAATCTTAGCAGAGATCCATGTCTAATCGCCGCGTTTAAAGCACTGACACAATCTGAAGCTAATCACTTAAAAATTGAATGATCTTGGGAGGTTGCAAGTTCTCCCTAATGCAGGAAATACTCGCCAACCAATTTATCTTGTTAAACAAAGCTGACTGTGACCTTCAAAAGATTTATAGATCGATACCTTCTGTCAACAAATTCGTGACCACAGCGACCTCCTAATTCCTTCAAATTGTCCTCTGATTCCTACAACCCACTTCTACACAATCAGCACTATCTCGAATCTGTATATGCCCTCGATGTGGCCAGTCCCTGAAACTACAGTCCCTAAAATTACTGTGCTGGTACTGGGAAATTGCGTGGTCACGAGGTTGGAAGAGTACGCAACAAGAAATCCAGATGAGAGCCCATCCTATCGTTAAAAATCTATTTTTCGTGAAATAGAAAGGTACTATTCCATCTCAGAGGCTCAGGATTTGTGCCCATGACGACGATGCTGAAAAGAATGGCTGAACTGAAGTGTCACCAGAAACTTCTTCCAGAACTGCTTCTGATATTTCAATCTGTGCATGAGAACTATTTGGGTGGAGTGGGACCATGAGCTCTTTCACTCTTTCTTTGCATCTGATTTTCATCTGTCCGTCCATTCATAAAATCGCAAACCAGGAGACTACTCGCTCACTCACGGTGATGTGGACAGTGCGATTTGCATTCTACCAATTTGTGGCCTCAAGTTTCTCCCGCTTTGTAATTTTCCTTTACACAGAACGCGTGTCACCAAAGGCAACCATGGCAAATCATTGGAGAGCCACTGAAGTCTGCGAGTTATGAATTTGAGTGTAGAACTTTTATACGAAACATCCAGAGACTCCTTTAATATGCGTCAAAGTAGGGATCGTTCCAAAACCCGGTCGGAGGCAGACGATACCACGACCAATCAACTCTGGTGAAATCCAATTTTGGTGGAATTTTCCTTATTATTCACAAAATGTGAAAACCTTACTCAGGCTGTTTACATAAAAGCGTTATTGCAATCAATACTTTACGAGGGGCCCTCACCCCCGTAAGCTCAGATGAGAGGGAAATGCCAAGGGCGTGGCGTAACTCAAACCTCAAACAAATCAGTCCTCTCTTGACATGTTTCTCACTGATGTGCCGCTGAGACATTCTGCTCGCAGCTGCACGTTCTTGATCCTCGCCCTAACAAGCAATCACTTAAAAATGCTTGGTGAGGTGAAAATTCCACTTGTACACGAACAGAGGAGGCACCGTAGTCGAATTCTCTGGCGCTGACAGTCCGTAGCCCGAGAATCCCCGGAAGTATCCAGTTCCGCCGATAACGATCAATTCCCAGGGAGCCGGGCCATAAGACAAGGTGCCCACCAAAGTGAAGCTGGAGCCAGGATACTTCGATCCCTCACCGAACCAAAACTTGCTCGTCACCTGTACACCTCCGGTTGGAAGTCCTCCGATGGTGGTCAGTGCTCCGGATCCCGTGATTCTGCCCAATAGCTTGCTGTCCGCAGCCGCTCCTTCCTTCAACCTGTTGTCAAACACCATGAAACTACCCCATCCAAGCGCGCTGAAGTTGCCTTGCCCCGTTCCGGCAGCAGGCAAGAGAGTCGCATTCGGTCCTCCACGGGTCTCGTGTGCGTAGAATGTCAATTTCAACGTCTCTGGCCCGGCTGCCCACCCACACCAATCGACGGTGAGGATATTAACCACAATAAACATTTCGCAATCCAACTCAAAGAAAATGGCTGGATGCATACCACAATACTAAACCTTGACATGGGGGAGCGATGAATAGGTAATTACCCCCAGCAACCAGCAACTGCAAGCTGCATATGCAAAGCACCACCGTCAAGGTGTACGCCGCTGCGGAGATCGCCATCGCTGCTCAACCTGTTACCCCCACAAATCCACCGTACCACCACATCGGTCAATTCTGTCACCGCATTTTGGTCATGAATACAATCGAATGGACTATCGACAGTGCCGATGATCAATCGTCAAATAGCACCTCAAAAATCTGTGATACCTCCGACAACTCTATCTAAGGACGCACTTCCATCATGTTTCATGTTACTCGTGACTGAAGGAATTGAAGCGGGAGAGGAACAAGGACCCAATCTGGAACGTAGGCATTTGAGTCCAACTTGATGAAAGACGACTTGAAAACTACGTAGGAAATGTCGATGATCAGATTAGGAGAGGAAATCATACCTTCCAAACACTCTCTCCCGGACAAATCACAAAGATCTAAGAGATTGCTAGTCACCGCGCAATATTGATTGATGCGCTAGCTGTGAGCTTGAAAGAGCAATGTAAATGGGCACAAGTTAGCAGCGTACTTATACTCCGCTGAATCGATCACTATTTCTTGGGTTCAATTTGAAGTCATTCGGCTGTAAAACCTTATTTTAGTCGAGCTGCAATCCAACGGCATGAGTCCTCGTCATGGATCACGTCCTCTCGATTTGTAGTACATGTGACGCTTGCTTATCATTCTCATTTTGACTTCACAATAGTGCCAACAGTACGCAAAGGTTGAAGGTTTCAATGTCAACGACAACTGTTTGAGCAATTAGTCAGAAGAGTCACATCCAAGCTGGGGATCATCGAGCAGGAGGGGTGGCTTGGGAGAAGCGGTAGAAATGGGTAGCTGCCCATCTTGCGCAGTTCTCCATGAGTTGGTGTAAGAACCATGTTTCTAGTGAAGATTGCCATCCCGACTAGAACCTTCCTGGTCCAGTCGATGGATTCTTACCAGATCAGAAATCCACAGTAGAGAAGACTAGGGAGTAACCGTGTCACCGTCATCAGGGAGCAACCACTTTTTTCTTATTTTTAATTACTCCGAAGTCTAATCCAAGGTCAACCCCGTTGACATAATCTGCCCAACGTCAAACCTTTAGCATCAACATTTTCAAACTTTCAACCCTTAATTTCCGAAAGAACGATGCTCAAATTATTGATACCGACAATGTCGTGGTCCAGCAAGGACTACGCTTTCAATGCGAGGTACAGGATTACCTCTGGACTAGAACCAGTTTATCGAGGAGCTGGGTACCTACTCCGCTACGGCCTCAAACACCCCGGGATCCAGTTGGCAGCACCCCAATTAGCAAATCCTCCAGAACCGACCCTGCATAGAATGCTTCAACAAACAGATGCTGCATTCATGATTTGTGAGCGTTGTAGCTTACGAAGATTCCTCAACTCTAGTCCCAATAATAGAGTTCTGAAACAGCGACCAAATTCATGGGATCAGTCCACGCTATCCACGGTGGATGATTGCTGGACTAAGCCGTTGCGGTGGGGATTACCACGAATTTGTTCACTGAACCAGCCTCGCGACGTCATCGCTGCCGTTGCGCTCTCGCCTGGATTAGGATTTCGGTACCGACAACCACGACACGCGTGCTTATTGCACCCTATTGTTGTTTTTTCTTAAGATTATTTAACGGTGAGATGAGGCATTTTGGAGAATGACTGAGCAGGTTCGAAAGACTGGGTTGGGCTACCTCCACAATAAACTAATTGTGTGCTCACTGATTGTGGTTTACCGCTGCATTAACCCATGCCATGTATATCCAAGTTGGACAAATTTTTTATTCAAAAATAAATAAATAAATACATAAAATAAATAAAAATCAAGGTATACTGAATGAGAAAAACATAACATGTAAGATATCTTGATTCCAAGATCTCTTATGAATGCGAGCTTAAGAACGGAATGTATGATATGTGGTGATATATAAGCTATCTCCCTATATTTCACATGTTAAGTGAACAATGAGGCCATTTTGCTCCAAAAAATTGTTTTTTCTTCTTACGTAGACATAAATTTTTGTTTTCAAACATTAATCTGTTCAATATCTCTAGCCATGGTGTCCTCTTCTTACTTGAAAGTATAATTTTTCATACATTTTACATAGGTCTATATTCCAAAATTATACAAAAATACAAAACTATTTACATATATTATATATGTATTAATAAAATTCGAAATAATATTTTATAGATCTTGAAGTTGGATTAGGATATATGTTGTTAAAAATTTCAAATAATTAAATAAAAAACTACAAAAGCATAGTTTATATTTATTTTTTTATTTAAAAAATAAATAAATGTACTATAAAAAATATGTGTTTTATTTTGTATAATTTTACCATTATAATTATTAATAGATATTATAATGTATCAAATTTAATTAAGATATTATTGATACATCATATATATATATATATATATATATATATATATACATAATATATATAATATTTATTACAAAAATTTAGTTTTAGTCATTTATTTTTTTAAATAAGATAATAAATACATAATACATTATATTTTTAAGAATTTTAAATTATGATTTAATCAATTTTATGATAACCTTATTTTATAAAGATTATGATTTTTGCAATATTCTATATTTTTATTTCTAATGATTTCAAGTAAAATTTTAAGTATAATCACTTTAATAAGAAATAAAAAATTTAAACTAAAAAATGCTACAAGTAAATGTAAATTATATGATTTTCAAAGTTTTTTCTATTTTTTAAAATATTAAAGAATATAATTTTTTAAAAATAAAATATTATTAAATAATAATTTTATAAATTAATTCATTGATATATTATCTTTTAATATTATAAAAATTTAAATAAAAACTATATATAATAAAAATATATATATTAAAATTATTATTTTTTTAATTAAATAATTATTATAATAAAAAAATATAAGTAATTAAAAACTTAAATATATTGAGTAAGTGAATTATATTTATTAAAACCATGAATTAAATGCAAAAATAACTATTATAAGTAAAAATTAAAAATTACTATAATTATTCTAAAAAATATCTATAATATAATATAAAACAAAAAAATATATTTTTGTAATATTTCAATAGTTTATAAATTTTTATATCTTGATTATTAAATTTTGATGTACTATTTTGTACAAGATTGCATTTCATTAAAAATCTAATTAAATGCATAGCTTTTCATATACCTATTATTAAGGATATGAATTGCAAATAATAAAATCTTCAAATACACTCTTGTATCATTAGAAAAGAATATATATTTATTCACAGATAGTATAGTATTAGGTGTAGATTGGCTATTGCTAAAGACAAGAGGATTAAAAAATCTTAAAATAAGACTAAAGACAAAAAAGGCATTGATAAGAATGAAGAAGGCTTCACTCTTGTTTTGATATATACTATCTAACTAAAAGCCACATGGCAAGGTTCTAAAGGACTTGTAACATATGTTCAACTTGTAAAACATATGTATAATTTATATGACAAGTTTCCTATAAGTATATCATATGGCTAATTTGTACTACAAGTCACCAATATGTATGATACGTACTCAATTTATTAGTCTAGTTTCTAACCTATCAAGTAACTATAATATGCATAAATCCAAATTTGTGTTTATGAAGCTTGTAAAAATACCCTCTATAAGATACTAATAATTCTACTTCTATTTATTCTCTATCTAATATTTTTTATCTAGGTAATTATATATATCAATGACATTACCTCTTCTTTTAGAAATAAATTTTATAAAGAGAGATGATTGCATATTGACAAAATTAAAGATGCAACAAATTATATTTGTTACATTCTTTAATCTTTGTTTTCTTTGTCTTAAGGACATCAAACTTAGAGAACTAAAAGATCAATACACTCTTGTGCCACTTGAATAGACTAAAGAATCACTCAAAGATGGTATAATATTAAATTAAAATAGATGTTGCTGAAGACAAAAATATAGACTCTTGAAATTAGATTAAGAACAAGGAAAACATTGACAAAAGTAAAGAAGGCTTCATTCTTTCTTCCATATATACTATCTAATTAGGAACTACATAGCAATATTCTATAGGACCTTCAATACATGTTGACTTTGCAAGATACATATCTTAACTTGCAAGGCAAGTTTTTTAATTTGTGTGCCATATAGTTAGTTTCTTCTACAAGGTACTAATACGTGTGACACATGGCTAACTTGTTGACTAAGTTTCTAACCTACTTATCAACTACAAATACATATAAAGTCAAAATTGCATCTATAAAGCTTCACTAAAAGATATTATAAAAATAATCTACTTTTATCTACTTCTATCTTATCATATAGGTAATTATTGGAATAAATATGTATGTCCATAATATTACTCCTTCTTGTAAGAATAAGTTCCGTGAAAAGAAATCTTCATTTTTTAATGGATCTTACATTTTTTCATCTTGGTTTTAATAGATGTTGTCAATGAAAAGCATCAATCTTTTTTATTGTATTTATAAGATTCTTGGTTAGCTCTCATGTGCATTCACTAATATTATATTTGTATCAATGAACAATATATTCCAATCTATTTTGGCATTGCTTTGAATCTAAGACTTCTTCTAACTCAAACTATTAATTATCATCCACTTCTATAAGAGGAGGTAGCATTTGTCTTCTTTGAGAGATATTTATTATCTTATATGGCTCAAAAAGAGATATATGGAATACAAGATGGATCTTCATAAATTTTGATAGATATAATTGATAAGCATTTGAATTAATTTATTTTTAAATAAGAAATGGTTTAAGCCTATGATAATCTAACTTGTCACAAAGACGGCTAGTGTTAATATTCTAACAAAATAACCATACCTTGTTGCCAATGTGGAATTGAGGTTGATCCTTGTGATAGCCATATGCATTGGTCTTTTATCATTCTTGAACTTCTTTTAATTGTGCCTTTATTGTTGTATAGAACTTAGATAAATTATTCATCAAAACTTTTGTCACAAGATTATCAATTTTTAAGAGATCAAAAGCATCAAATCATGAATGATAATTATAATTTGTAAAAAAATGTATTTGTTGTATAAAAGAATTCACTATATTATTATAAATAAACTTTGCTTGTAGCAAAATTATTATCCAATCATCTTATTGATAATTGATGATCCTTTTATATTTGAATTTAAAAATAATTTATTTTATTTTGAGAGACAATAATGTATTCCAAAAGTCAAAAGATAATTACATGTTTTCTAAACTATTCTTGACTTTTCAACAATTAGATATTTTAGATACAACAAGACTTTGGAGCTAATATCAAGAGATTTTTGGTGGCTTCAAATGTAGAAGGTAGTTAAAGACTTTGTATAATCATGTATCATTTATTCAAAATCAAAAATTCCTTGTCATTGACCTTATAGACTTCTTTTACTATTACCTATTTAAGAACAATCATAATCTTTTGTTTCTATGGATTTTATTATAGATTTTTCAATCTTTAGTTTGTATGATTTTATATTTGTGATAGTAGATTATATACCATATATAAAATCTATATTTTCCTAAATATATTGT